CAAATCCGCAAGGCTGGGAAACAAAACTAAAACAAAAGACCTTTAAAATTTTTTTACAACGTGATAAGTTTGACAAATCAATCATTCAGATGATAGGTAACATTCAATAATTTAGTGCCCTCTGACTTTTCTTAAAGTCAAACCAAGTCATGAAGATGATTTCGGAGCCATGAGTTCAATTAGCTTACGTAGGTGTGTTTTGAGAGTAAAGCCTACAACTGAAAGCGGCTTTAATAATTTCACATTGACAAATTATCAACAAAAAATGTTTTTTTTCTGAGTGGTTTTCATTGCCTAGTTTCTTTAGCCTTAGCACGACATATGAATAGTTTTGGAGAAATTCGTGGTCTTTAAAACTGAAATACCGGAAATGGACTTCAAAGAAAAAACCGGAGTTAATGGAGCACGAGTCGGAAACTTCACAGTGCGTAGTAGCATGGTGTTCAAAGAAATTTGTATGCTCCACCCAGTTTAATTTGATGGGAGATAGATTTTTACCATTTCTTTTTAAAATTACTCTCGGTTACATCGCCAGATAGTTTCTCGTGATCCTTTTGAAAAACAGTAACTTAACATTGCGAAATGTTTGATATATCAACTTGAGTTTTGCTATTGATCGGATCTCCATTGAAACAATAACACAAACACTTTGTATTCAAGATTAGAATTTGTAAATGGTATCTTTGCTTTTATTTAAGCATTTGATATAACATTTGATATAACGTTTGATATAACTGTTGCATTATAGGAAACAGATGAAGTACTTAGTTTCAAATTAGAAAATGTCATGGCGACAGATAGCTGCGTGTGGAACGAAAACCACACACAGAAAATAATTGAAGCTTTATTTTAAGCCATGATAAATCCCTAAATTCTCTTTTATTGTTCCAAGAAATATTTACACGGAAAGAAATGAGAATAAATAGGTTTGTGACTTTTATTTTCATTGCTAGTTTTTTTAACGGTTTGTTTCTTATCATAGAGGGATTTCCTCAAATGACGCAAACAGTCATGCATCGCCTTCATTCAAACTTGCCTTCAAACACGTGAATGCAAACTCAAGTCTGCCCCCCAACACATCACTGAAGTCTTTTGAGGAGCTTGTTAAAAATCAGGACAACTTGTACGAAATTGGCAAGCACTATTTGCAGTTTAATTATGATGTATTATCTTTGTATTACAATGCAGTAACTTTCGACGTGGTTGTGATTTTTCCTTTGCGCCTCACTCAGAGCCTTCCTCGAACGATAATATTTGCATTACGCTATGTGACACCATCCTCCGCCGTAATTAGTTGATTTTTGACAACTGTGATTGGTGCATTAGATCCTCCAATGTTTTGGGAGTTGCTCACTCGGGGCCGCTGCCCTATGTCTCTTCTTTAGCTTTTTTTCTTTTCTTTTCTTTTTTTTTTTTTTGTTTTTTGTTTTGTCTTTTGTTTTTTTGTTATTTAGGCACTTCTAATGAAAGCAGAGTGTATAACTATACTATAAGGTATGAACAGAGTTAATGACAAATGTGTCACTGATACATGGCACATACTACAAATAGTTTAAACAGTCACCTGTTTTAAGACTTAAGTCAGTTTAATACATGAAAACAACGAAAAGATATAAGACAATCGAATTATGTCTTTATGCCCGACTCATTCCCAGTCCTCCCATTTCAAGTGACGCAAAAGCAAAGCAAGGGGACTTCTCGACTGCTTTCTTTCTTTCCATAACATTTCGGGCTCTAACTTCCCCAGGTTGGTTGCTGCGCGCTGAGGATGACTGGGTACCAATTGGTCGAGTGCTGTGTTCGAGCTTGTGATTACCATACTGCTTGCTTAACAGTCAAACTAGCAAGAAAGTTTTGTCGGGATTTGATATGTAATACTCCACATGTAATACTTCATATGTAATAAACCACTACTGAGCCACTTAGGTGTTTGGCAGCAAGTTGAAAAAAATTTCCACTTTTTCAGAGAAAGGAGTTCCACAACTGTCTGTGTTCAACCTCCAGCAGCTGAAGCAAAGAGCAATGAAAGGGACAAAACAAATAACAGTAAAGAACACCTTGCTACAGGAGCAAACAACCAAAAAAGACTACGAAAAAAGATATATTTTACGCAGAGATAGTAAAACTAATGAAGATAATACAGAAATACAAGATGGTGATGAAACAATTTCTTTTCCGGCAAAGTAGAACACACAAACAGATTTTCTGTAGGCCAGTTATGCACTTGCGGTTGTAAATGATATGAAGTTTTGTATCCTTTTATTAGGTTTACTTCAGAAAAATAGAAGAGCAATCCAAAAATCCAAAAATCTCTTCTTAACCTCTTTCCTCAGCAAAAGGAAAAACTGCGACGATAAGTTTTCGCGCACTCTAACTGGACTTTCAGGTGGGACAGGGGGAACTAACTCGGTAGAGACCACTCGGCCAACGAGAACGGAAACTCGTCACGATTTCCGTACGGACGTCAAGAAGGAGACAGCGTTTTGTTCCCACAGTGGACATTTATTCGTAGAGCGCTCTAACATACATCGTGCTAAAGTAAAAGCTAAAATAGAAATCATCAAAACTGTGCAAGGTGCTTGCTTAACAACTAACTGGTGTGAGGTGCTATTCTAACACAAATCACAATATTTGAATGAGGACACCAAGGAGCGGAAAAAGTCTCTTTCACGTTAAACGAAAACTATTTAGATATTCATCTGTTTCTACGACGGAAAGAATTTCAAAACTAAAAAGAAGGACTCGAAAAATAGGAAACTTAGGTGCTGTTTTAATTGCAGCAAAGCAGCTTACGAAATAAAAAACGGAAAAGTAATTCAAAAGTTTCTGCTTGACCCTGAAAGGCAAAACGGACACTAACGGAAAACCGTTCGAACGGCAAAAACGCACGGATGACGAGCGGTTAACGGACGGTCCTTGAAGCGTTCACCAATAGTACTTCCAACATCTATAAAAGGGGTCACTTTCAAAAATCCGTGATATCAGAATGCTGATAATTTGCATGATGGTCAACATTCTGACAAGGATGTTGTTTACCTCCATGTATATCTTAATAGACCTGATGAAAGGAAAATATTAGCAATTGTTTCTTCAGTGCAATGTTTGTGTTATTCAAAAGAACACAATATGAAATTAAAATACGAGCAAAATTATTAACATAAAAACAAATCCTGTCATTGGTGTCTAAATCAAATAGAGACCTATTCTATTTAGTATTGTGAAAGGAAACTTAATGGATGGCTAGTGTTGGCAACATGTTTCCACGCTCAGGTAGTGTAATAAATAAACATAACTTTTTGTTCTTCATATACATATTGATTATTTTTTGGGTAGTTATAAGTACATGACTGCACTTACGCATAGATGGGGTCATCTGAAAAGGGGTTATACGGTGTGGGATGATACTCAAGATCAGGTTCCGTATTGCTGATGATCTTGTGTTTTTTGTGGAACATGAATCCTCCAAAGATAAGAAGCCCACCATGTGTAACCAAAACCTGCAGACCTACAGCCACTACAGATCTCATTGGCAGGAACAGTGTACCTGAAAGTACACACAGTCATACAATCTGTTTCTCAAGCTTAATAAAGTAACACAATTTAAAGATATGCTATTCACTTCACAGCCATATGACAGCAACTGTTAAAGGTTAAAAGTTTTGAGAAGAAAATTATAACTTACAATAATTGCTACCATCCAGGATTTATCGGATCAAAAGAAGGAGTCTTTCACAAAAGCAAAATTTAAGCAATGATAGAAGAAAGGGTTCTCTGTACACACATGCTGTACAATCCGGTATTGAGAGTAAGTGATGTTTCTTGATACCAGTTACAATGAAGTGGAAACAAAACAAATTTGCATGGATTGCATTTTCCAGTGTTAGCATTTGGTAAATTAGTTAATAATTATATAAACATAAAGCTCATAGAGTACCAATTGAGCATGTTTTATGACAAAATAATAAACACATACCTAAGCACACCATACCCACACTGCCAAGGCCGATGGCCAACGGTCCACCCCATGACAGAAATTTACCATCAGGTGCA